GGGCATATGTGTATGAGTGAGAGTGTATGCTAAAATTCGGAGAAGTCAAAGGGATATTCGTCTGGATAGGAACTCAGAGATGCCTGGGATAGAGCAATATATCTGAATTATTTAGACAAAACAGCACTTCTAATCTTTACCTCTATACAGAGTACATATCCCAGCACAATTTCACATTCATATATTTATTTTTCTCCTTGCAAACATCCTCTGTATGTGGAGGAATATAGAAAGGAGAAACTTTATTTTTTCTCATGAACTTAGTATCCTTCTTCATTGGAGGGAAAAAAAAAAGAACTTTCCAGATTTTTTTTTTAAACTCTGGTCCTGTGGCTAGAGAGATGGCTTAATGGTTAAGTGCATTTGCTGCTCTTAAGGACCCTGGTTTGGTTTTACCAAACATTACTCACCCACATAGCAGCTTATAAGCATTTGTAACTCTGGTTCTTGAAGTTTGATGCTTGCTTCTGACCTCCACATGCACTGCATGAACATGGTGTGCTTACATACATGAAGGCAAAACACTCGTGTAAGTTAAGTAAAAATAAATCTTAAGACAAAATACTTTCGAATTTATTGTTAAGTAACCTTACAAAAAAGAATAGATTCTCAGAAAAAATTAATGTGATTTACTATTGTTAAATCTGCTAACCCAAATTCATTTGTTCTTAAGAGATGCATAATTTATTCAAATGACCCAAAGCTTTTAGAGTAAATCTTTGAGAAAACAAAACAAAACTTTATCCAATTCCAGGAATAGTCTTGATTTTTTTTTTGTTTTGTTTTTCTTCTGTTGCATTCCTTTTCAAGACCGAGATTCATTTCACTCTCAAGAGTATGTACATTGTTGGCTTAACTCATTGCTGAATCAATAATGTGCTGTATTTTTCTTTTTTTTTAAACTTTGAGTGATGTCAATATTATTGCAAGTCCTTTTTTTTTCCTTCCTCCCTTAACTTCTTGCAATTACAATCTTTTTTTTTTTCTGGCTTGTGAGCATTTTTACTCTAAAATTATGAAGAAACAAAGTAAAGGTCTTTTTAATCTTCTGGGAAGTGTGCCTCTAAAGTTTATTTACGTCAGAACTTACTGTAATGAAGAACAAAAGTTCTAGACAAGGTCCCCTGCTTCTAGGGAGTGTTCAAGGCTAGGTCTTCTGGAGGCCAGCCTGCAGTTTTGTTTTGTTTTTTGTTTTTTCTCTGAAGTTTATAACTCACTGCCTGATCATTTTTTTTTTTTTTTTTGCAAGGGGGCCAAAAAGTAGGGCTTAAATTACAGCAGGGTGGGAATCTGACCCATTTTGACCACTCAGAGGCTCTAGCCTGGAAAATTCCCTGTATGTGGCAAAAACAAACATTTGAAATGAAGGCAGAAACTAGGCTTAAACAAAGAATGAAACTCATGCTCCTTTCTGCTCTCCTGCAGATAAACATATGTGCCCAGTCTTTTGTTTCCCAAACATCAGGTTTCCATTATTTAAACAGAGCTTCTACCTGAATCTGTCTAGAGCATGAGACAGAAACATTTTAAGATTTAACAAAATTATACATACATACATATATATATATATATATATATATATATATATATATATATATAGTACATTTTGCCTTTGCTCAAGCCCATTTAATCAAAAAAAGTGCTACAATGATGTCCTCAAGCCCTCAAGCTTTTGGAGCTTACTGTAAATGACAGGCAACTCTTACTAGTTTCCTATGCTTATGCAATGTAGGATTTACTTTAATATCAATGGAGAGGAAGATGTCACAAGCTCTCTGCTGCTTCTTGTGACATTTGTAAGTTTGTCCTCTGTTACCTACAATCATTTCTCTTTCCTGGTTCTACTGAACTCCATACTTGTGTGCCTAAGTACTAAGGACAAAGATATCTCCCTCTGCTTATAGTTTTGTAGGCAGTAATGTTCACTACAGTATCAACAAGAATTGAAGAATAGGATCCATAAGAATCATTGTAGTTGTACATCTCTTTTAACCCTCTGTTGTGGGTTACCTGGTTATCTGCACTAACTATAGAAAATTTCACAATTACAAATTTTTCTTTCCTGATCTCCATTTTACTAATACATCTAAGAAGAAAACTTCTCTTTGCGTAGTAATCCTTCCAACTTCCTGCTTATTCTTTGATGTTTTTGTAATAGCTTTATTAATAAAGTCAGCAATGACAATTGGTGTATGTAAATGACAAACGGTGTATGTATCTCCTTTGGTCAGTATAAGGTGAGACAAAAGGATTACATAGCAGGGTAGAGATTTAAAAATATGAGCTCTGACATAATTTTACCATTGTTGAAATTCACATGTACTTATAACAGCCGTGGGTTCTCAGAGAATTTATTGAAACTTGGTCACCCTTTCTTTCCTGATTTTTAAAGAAGCGATAATATTAATACTATATAAGGGGATAGCTGTGTGTTAGGTATCATTTCAAGTACTCCAAATATAATAATTCATTTAAGCTTAGTGACTTCATGATATGAGCAATTATTATCATCCCCATTTTTCAGATGACACAGCAGAGACATGAAGAAGAATAGTCATGTGACTACATTTGTAGAATTAAGATGCAGCAGAACATGGATTGTGAAGCCAAGTGATTGGCCCTTAAAGTTTTCTATGCTTTCTCTCTGTTGAACTACTAGGGACAAAGTAAATAGCACAGTGCTAGGCACAAAGCATTTGGTGACAGCTGGTATTGCACAGTTCTGTCACCTCTTCTGGACTGTATTGTTTTTCTCACTCTTGCTGCTGCTGAATTATGTGAGGAAGATCATCATTCCTCAGAAAAGGAAAAACAGTCAGAATAGCAGCAAAAGCAGCAGCAAGAAGAGGAGCGGCAGCAGCTGGAGTAGCAATTTACGATAGCAACATAAGTATTCTTTACCTTGTCTGTTTGTCTGAGCTACAGTTGAGGCAGAGTCACATGAAAGGAGGCACTAAATGTTAAAACATTTCCTTTTTTCTCACAAAAAGATTTTATCCTTCTTATCTCCAATCTTTCAGCAACAGGGCAGCTAAAATGGTTAAAAGCAAGGTTGTAGAATTAGGTAGAGCTGCTACCATTCTTTAATAAACAGGGGTAAAGATTTAAAAATATACTAAAGGCTGTAGAAGTTGTTTGTTAACAAAGACTGCTACTAGAATAAACCCTGTATTCTCCCTATTCCTTAACTTGTTTTAGAGTGCCAGGATCAGAAAAATAGGAAAAAAAAGAGAATTCTGTTAAAATTATATTCTTCTTTTAAAGGTAACCACTGAGTTAAAAATTCTCTAATACGTTTGTGGAAACTTCGTGTTTTTTTTTTTTTTTTTTTTGAGATTTATTTGAATGAGCTGTTATGATTGGAGACATGAGAATTTCAGATTAATGTTTTGCAGCCAGAAAGAAAAAGCCCTCTGGAAAGCTGGCAAGTGTTCATAAATCAGTCGCAGAATTATGTAGGTTGAAGGCTCCCCAGTGGACAGAGTGAATATATAAGAAGGAAATCAGAGGTCTGGTGCAGTTACATCCCAGAGTCTAGGGATGGAGAGAGCACAGAATTGAAAGCTTTCTTCATCCTGAATTTTTAAGGTAAGTCAGAACAATTTATATGTTTTTTAATTAAGAAGGAGAACACACACACACGGAAAAAATGTTTGTTATGTATGAACTTTTTCTTTTTTGCTAAATTTTAACACTGCATTTTGAAGAATGCTTTAATTATTAACTGCTCTTTCTGTTACAGGATTGCACGTGTGAGCTAAGTAAGCTGATTTATGATAACTTCTTTAAACACTGGCAACTAGTAAGTCTTCTGTGGGATTTATTTTTGCTTCTTTCATGTTAATTTGGAAGGTAATACAAAATAATGGGCCTTTGACAGAAATGATAGTTTGCTGTTTCTGAGGAAGTTCGCTGGTGCTTACATTTTAAATTGAATATCTGCATGCAGGTACTTTGAAATTATCTGGTGCAATAGTTTTGCCCTCTGTGTATTTATCTTTAGTTTTCTTTGTTTCAAACAATGTTATTACTTTTAATAAAACAATGGCTTTCCTACCTGAACACTGTTGTTAATGCTGGAAAGTAATAGCTATTTAGTTCTGTGAAACTGAAAAGATAACAATTAAAAAATTGTAAGACTATATCATGATTAGTCACTGATGTATAATTCTGATTTAATTGATCAATCAAAATTATGTCTGTTTGACCCTGACTCAGGTTTGGTTGTTGTTTTGTTTTCTTTATCTTCTAACTATACTGAAAATGGATTTATTTCTTAGGAAATAGATCAGACTTAAATATCCATATTGAAAAGCAACATTGACTATTAAGGTTTTGAGGCAAAGGTTTTAGGAAATACATACATATTCATATTTTTATTGTTATTGTGAAAGAAAAGAGAAAGTAAATAGATTATTTTAAGCATCAGAAACTAACGATGACACTCTATCCTAATTTATCCTCCTGCATACACTTTCAGTTTTCTGTACGAGTATCTACTTTTTTCTCTTGCCTGTGCTATTTATATTTTCCATAGTTGTAACAATTTGTATATAATAACTTACTTCAATAAAGAATTTCTCTATGAAGCAGTGGGCAGCAGTGTGATTTCTAGAAAGCACACAGATGGAGAAATAAGCCTCGGTTTTTGACCTATGAAGCTGCCTTTGGGATCCTTCTTATTTGTATCATACAGTTCCTACTCTTTAGATTATTAATTTGTCTCTCAAATTTCCAAAGACATAAGAGAAAAGAAAGAGAATAATTTTGTTCAGAATTTTCAGTCTAACGCCACTGAGGATTTTTTTATTTCTTCCTCAAGAGGTAGTGGTAATTTCTGTTTGCCAAGCATGGTGTTTTTATGTTTTTTACAACCACTTACATTATTTTGGCCTTTGACAAATGTTCAAAATGCTTATTACTCAAATATTCCATAGGATTTGGGTATGTTTTAAGCACTCTGTTTTTCTCCCACAGAGAAGGTGTAAGAATTACGGAGTTGCTGACAATTCAGTATGAAGGACAATTTCAGTTTTGCCGCCACCAGCAGAAACATCACCAGCAGCCTTCCTTTTGTTAATCTCAACATGTCTGGCACTAATGAGCTCATCTTTAATTGCTCACATAAACCATCAGATAAGCATTTGGAAGCAATTCCTGTTCTCTACTACCTTATTTTTGTGATTGGTTTTGCTGTTAATATCATTGTGGTCTCACTATTTTGTTGTCAAAAAGGTCCTAAAAAGGTTTCTAGCATTTATATCTTCAATCTGGCTGTGGCTGACTTACTCCTTTTGGCTACCCTCCCTCTCTGGGCAACCTATTACTCTTACAGATATGACTGGCTCTTTGGACCTGTGATGTGCAAAGTGTTTGGTTCTTTTCTGACCCTGAACATGTTTGCGAGTATTTTTTTTATTACCTGCATGAGTGTTGATAGGTACCAATCAGTTATCTACCCTTTTCTGTCTCAAAGAAGGAATCCCTGGCAAGCATCTTATGTAGTTCCCCTTGTTTGGTGTATGGCTTGTCTGTCCTCATTGCCAACATTTTACTTCCGAGATGTCAGAACCATTGAATACTTAGGTGTGAATGCTTGTATTATGGCTTTCCCACCAGAGAAATATGCCCAGTGGTCTGCTGGGATTGCCTTGATGAAAAATGTTCTTGGATTTATTATTCCTTTGATATTCATAGCAACATGTTACTTTGGAATCAGAAAACATCTGCTGAAGACCAATAGCTATGGGAAGAACAGAATAACCCGGGACCAAGTCCTGAAGATGGCAGCTGCTGTAGTGTTGGCGTTCATCATTTGCTGGCTTCCCTTTCATGTTCTGACCTTCTTGGATGCTCTGTCCTGGATGGGTATCATTAATAGCTGTGAAGTTATGGCAGTCATTGACCTGGCACTTCCTTTTGCCATCCTCCTGGGATTCACCAACAGCTGTGTTAATCCCTTTCTGTATTGTTTCGTTGGAAACCGCTTCCAACAGAAGCTCCGCAGTATGTTCAGGGTTCCCATTACTTGGCTCCAAGGCAAGAGAGAGACTATGTCTTGCCGAAAAAGCAGTTCTCTTAGAGAAATGGACACCTTTGTGTCTTAAATCTGTTAGTGGGATACATGTGATAACCCTAGCGAATGGCTTGGAGGCCCACACTTATGATCTTTAAATGGCATCAGTATAATAATTTTTTGCCTTTTCTAATCTTTACTTGCTCCCCAGAACAGAAATTCAATTATAACTGTAAATTTTTATACTTCATCAACTTTCAGTGATTGTGCCTTGTTTCTCTTGTTCCTTGGAATTGTCATAGGTGAGCAATATCTATAATCTAGAAGTGACTGGGGAAGTTATCTCAAATTATAATTAACAAATTATGAGGGGTGATTTGGCAGTTCAGATTTCTCCCTGGAAAATGCTGGCATTTCTTAGTGGAGTTTTATGTCCATTTTCACCAGATTTTTCTTTTCTCTTGACTAAGGGCCAAATTTCACCTCTTACTCTAACCAGCATATCCAGGTGAGCACTAAGCTTAGCATGATATACTCTTCTATATATACCATAGGTTAGTAATGGCTTATTCAGTCTCAGTATGTAGTTCCTCCTTCTAAAGAAGTTGTTAAGTTGTATTCCTTTTCTATTTCACTTGAGTATAGCCTCGTACTTACTACATACTGAATAGGCTATATACTGAATAGGTCTAGAATGTAGATTAAATCACACTTCTTTATTTTAGCTTATTCTTGCAGTTATAGAAAGTACAGTATTTAGTAAAACAGAACTGCAATGAAAATTTTATTACCTTCTAAACTGAATACATACATTGAAAACTTTTAATCCATTTGACTAGTCAAAGATTTCTATTCTCCTTAGATGATTTTTGAATATTACAACAAAACACTGTGTATTATTACACTACATAAACGTCACTTTTTACGTTTTTAACCTTTTGAATGTGCTCTTTTGATATATTCAATGGTGACTTGAATTTAATTATTCATGCTTTTGTTCTGGGCTGTGTCCCAAAATATCTCTTTGACCCTGAAAAAGAGAGGATTCTTTAATTCTTTAACTTTATAATAAACTGCAAACTGGAATAGGAAAAACTAATGTCAGAATGAAATTTTGATGATGCCTTCTTGGCAGGAATGAGACCTAGCAAACTGCAAGTTTGGTGTCCAACAAGAAACTTGTCAGAACAAAGATCCCCTAAGGAGTAGTTTGAACCTGCATTTCTGGGCACAGTTCCAGAATGTATAAGAGTCTGTGAAGGTGATTTAAATCAAGCACAGATCCACAGAGCTCATTTTCAACACAAGTACATCTCTAACATTAGAGGAATATAGTACGTGAAACTGAGTTACCTAATATTTACTCAATCTTGAGAATGAATATTATCTCCAAAGTTTGAAATTTCATTCTCTTCATGCCCCATATTATACCAGGTCACCTAAGATGATCCTGGACCAATGCTGAACTATGAAGTAGATTTAAAGTTTTGAGGACTTAACATTTTCGTCAGATTACTGGTTTTTAGGTTGAAGAATCCTCTCATACATCTTCCTGAGAAATTCCTGATCTCATGTATTCATTTTTTTTTCAGTAAAAAAAATATATATATATCTAAATGTATAATCAGTTATGGCTTTATGTTTTAAGTAATTTTACACAACATCTCATAAAAATAAAATCATTATTGGGAGACCATGTGTGCTTATTATTTTTTAACTGTCTCCAGGTTTAGACTTACGCTTTCTCTTAATCAATATCCCAAGCAAATCTCCACTCATACTTCTCAGTTTCAGCGTACATCATTACTTATCTAGGGCAACACTAAACAGGCATATGAAAAGTGCATGTTGGAAATGAATTCTGATACCTCCTTGGGGGTTAAATGACAAACATGGTGTCAACCAAGCAAGCTGTCAGGCATAAAATGTGGGCTTTAGCACATAGATTATTTCTTGTCAACATTCAGTTCATATTATTTTCTCTACTGCAATCATAACTAGTATATCCATTCCATCCACCCTGGGACTTCCCTTAATCCTTTTTGGCGGGGGATTTTAAAAGACTGGTTTCTAGGGCTGGAGAGATGGCTCAGCAGTTAAGAGCACTGGCGGTTCTTTCAGGGAATCCAGGTTCAATTGTTGGGACCCACATGGTATGTCACAATGGTCTGTAACTCTAGTTCCAGGGGATTAATATTCTCTTCTGGCCTCCACAGTTATCAGTCATGCATGTGGACATAAACAGATATGTAGGCAAAAAACTTACAAAAATGAAATAAAACAATAATGATGATGATAAAAAATACTGGCTTCTGCTTCCATAGGAGGCCAGTAGTGTACACTGAGGAGTGTTTTCCTAGTTTTTCTGAGAGTAATAAATGTCTACTGAACAGATAATGGAAAAATATGTGAATTCTGATTGAAGGTATGTTTATAGGTACTAATATCCTCTTCCCTCCTTGAAAATGTAAATGTCAGGTGACCTTTTGAGACAATTTGAAAAATTTATTATTCCCATTTGTTCACTTATCAAGATTTTACCTATGAAGTGAACACTATGTGACAGGTACAATGTTGTATGAATTATCCCATTCACATAAGAACTCAGGTATTTTCATGTTACAAATAAAAAAGTGAGGCACAGATCAGCCTTAACTGATCTATAAAACAGATCAAATGGGAAATCCCAGGGAAAGATTTAGTGCTTTAAGTATCAGTCCTAGGCTACCAAAACAAGTATTTGAGAGAAACTCTTATACAGTCTTTCAACCTTCATTCCAAACAAAAGTGTATAGGCAGTTGATGTATTTGTGCTTAAAAGAAAATTGAGGAGGTAGCTGGGTAAGGCTATGACCCTTGTTCTTCAGTGCTTCCATCTGTTGTCATAAGCCTTACAGAACCACATGGAATAACCAGTGTGTTATACATAAAACAAAGCAGAATTCTCAAACATTTGTTTTGAGGAACAAATATGTTGATGCGAAGTTTATTTCTCTGATCATCGATTACCTGAGGTTATCAGAGACAGTTCTCTCTTGCAACTTGCTGAAAAATACATTTTTTATTATGAGAGATAAATAATAATTTCACATCATATTGACCTAAATCAAATCAACTAAGTAGCATTCTTAAAAACAAATTCAAATCTGAGTCCTGCTTCCAAGTGAGAATACAATGTAAGGCACAAAGGTAAGCCTATTCTAGTCTAACTCTTTGAAATGGGGATCAGAGCTGTCCTCACTTCTCAACAGAAGAAAGCCACAAACTTGACAAGATGAGTGAGTGAGCACACAGGGAAACTGGAGTAAGAAATAATTGGAAGAAAAGTAAAATTTATTTAGTTATTTTGCTGATTTCCAGATAAACTGTATTAGTGCTGATAATATATGCAGTACATCAGAAATTCATTAAGTTGTCACTAAAACCTCATCAGTGCCCTGGAGATGAATTGACAAGCTCACTGGCATGAATATACCTATAAAAGCTTATCATCCATGGGAAGAAATATTTTTCTTTCTGAAATTTCTCCTCACCCCAAGATGAAAGAATTCCTTCAATGATGGGAACTAACTGGTATGTATTTCTTATTATATTTAAATGTTTTACCATTTAAAATGAGCCACGTGGATAATCACCAACATGATGAAGATTACTGTAGATAAGATCATGCATATATGCACATTTTTCTTTTAATCTATTACACACCATGTCATTTATCACCCTATATAATAGTGATTTAATATTTTAAATATTTTGACCCTGTACTTCCATCTGTTTTACTAGATAATTTTCTTCCCCCATTTAGTTCTTCTCTTCAATAAGGTCTTAAACATCAGGGCTTTAAGCAATCTATGAGACTGGACCTGATTACAATTGCTCAATGATGGAAATAATGGAAAGTGTTGGGAAATACAATCATTTTATTGGTTAGATATATACAGCTGTGGTTGCCAAATTCTTTTTCGCATTTTTTATTATGTTAGTTTATTTACTTTATACACCAAGGGTACCCCCTTCCTCCCCTCTTTCCTGTCTCCTCCCAACTTACCCTCCTTCCCCCTTCCCCTTTTCCTTTTCACACCAGAAAAGGGGAGCTCCCCCCACCTGGATTAACCTTCCCCAGCACATGGAGTCACAACAGGGCTGAGTATATCTTCATCCCCTGAAGCCAGGCAAGGAAGCCCTGCCAGAGGGAAGTGATCCAAAAGAAGGCAATAAAGTCCATGTAGAAACAGCACCTCTTCCACTTGCCAGGAGACAAACATGAAAAACAAGATGCCTGTTGGCTACATGTGTGCAGGGGGCCTAGGTCCAGACCATTTGTACTCCTTAGTTGATGTCTCAGTCTCTGAAAGCACGCATGTGACTGTGTTAGTTATCTCTGTCGGGCTTCTTATGAGGTCCCAGTCCCCTCCAGGTCCTTCTATCTTTTCCCCAATACTTCTGCAGAACCCCCATAATTCTACCCTATGCTTGGCTGTAAGTTCCAGCATCTGCCTCAATTTGCTATTGGCTGGAGTCTTCCAGACTACTGTCAAGTTAGGTTCCTGTCTGAAAGCACAGCAGAGAATCATTATTTGTGTCAGGGGATGGCTCTCTACCATGGGGTAGGTCTCACATTGAGCCAATTATTATTTGGACTTTCCCTCTAACTTTGTTCTCTCATTATCCCTATACTTCTTGTAGGCAGGGTAATCCCTGTATCATAGGTTATGTTGGTGGCTTGTTGTTCCCCTCCCTACACTAGTCCTGCCTGGCTAGGATGTGGTCATTTCAGTCTTCAAGTCCCACTGTGCCAGGAGTCTCAGCCAGGAATCACACCCCATCTTCCCAGGAGCCTACTCTGTAGCAGGCCTTCAGCTTAACCAAGAAATATCCCTCCCCAGTTTCCCTTCTGGTTCCCAGCCCTCTCACATCCCACCTCCCTCTCTCCCCCACATATGATCCCCACCCCTGTTTCCTTCCCCATTCCATCTCCCACCCAGTTCCCTCTCTTCATCCACCACCACTGTCAACTTCCTCCTCTGAGTGACATTCTGGCACCCTCCCCCAGGCCCTCACTGTCACCCAGCTTCCTTGGGTCTGTGGAGG